AGACTCCACTCCTAACGGCTACTTCTCATCATCTATGACGATGGAGGAACTAGTAGATATTAAGGAGGATATGTCAGCTCGGGGTCCTAGCGCAATGGGCTTTGATAGGACGACCTACGATCTCTTCCTTGCTATCGACAATGACCGCCTCCTCGCCTTTTTCAACAAATGCTTGGAACTGCGGGGGGCTCCCCAGCTTTGGCTTGTGACCATGCTTATTGGGATTCTGAAACCGGGCAAGGATAGTGATGACCCATCGAGTTATCGCTTGATTGGCCTCGAGTCTTGCCTTCTTAAAATGTTCACTCTGTTCATTGACAGGATGATGCGTAGATGGATGGATGACAATAACATCCTACCTGAGACTCAGAACGGCTTTCGGAAGGGATATCACGGTATGAACAACCCATTTATCCTGCGAACGGCAATCGACGTGGCCCTTGCTGAGGGCAAGACACTGTATGTTGTCTTCCCGGATCTAACGAACGCCTTCCCATCAACAGACCATGCTTCTTTATGGTCAATGATGTACAAGAAAGGAGTCGCCAGCCCACTGTTTGACTGGCTGCGTATGCTATACGATAGCATGAGCTATGTAGTACGCATGGGCTCGGCTTTTTCAGCCTCCTTCCGATCCACGGTGGGTATTTTGGCCGGCGACTCTGGATCCCCAGGTTTCTGGAATTTCTTTGCTTCGGACCTGGTTTTTGTTCCCCACCCGGAAGATATCTCCATTGGTGGTCGTCGGGTGATGAATATTGAACAAGCTGATGATGGTGCAATGTTCTCGGGTCCGTTAGGGCTCCAGGCGCACTTAGACGTCTATGGACCATGGGCGAGTCGGAAGGGACTGCTGGTGAATATTCCAAAGACGAAGGTCCGCGCTTGTTCCTGATTGAATGACCGAGGCTGTCATCTGATGATCATGATAGGCCATGGCTTTTGGGAAACTTCCGTCTACTCTCCCAGTCTTCACGATCCTGGGCCGCCCTATAGAGTGGACCAATGAACACAAATACCTGGGTGTAACATTCACCTCCTCCAGGGCCGACATCTTCTCTCAGCATTACACAGAAAAGGAGAAGTCTGCAAGACGCACTGCTAATGTGATGTTTACCCTTAAGAAGTACTTCGGTGATCTACCGCCGCGAGAGGGCGTGTTGATCTATAAAAGTCGGATTGATCCTCACCTGACATTTGGCGCGGAAGTCACAGTAGATGTGGCTAACTCTGGCTCTCATCTCCTTGAAAAGGTGCAGGTCGCGTACTTGCGACACTTGCTATCTGTTCAGAAGCGGTCTATGCATGTCGTCGTATTCACTGAAACGGGTATTCTCCCCCTCCCCTACCGCCGAATCATGTTTGTGCTGCGGTACCTCCAACGTATCCTAGACCTGGGCGAACACCGTATACCCGTGTGGTGTCTCGAGGCCAATGTCGATCTCTGGTTAATGGGGAAACCGTGCTGGCTAGGTGATATTGCGATTGTCCTACGTAGGCTTGGTTTCAGTGAGACTGAGTTATCGCTGGAGAGTTTACTCAACCCAGAACATGTGGACATGTTGGTTAATGCGGTCCCCAAAAAGGGAAGGGAATGGGCGCTAACACAGATCTCTTCATCATCACGCTTACAGCTGATGGAGGATCGATGGGAACAGCTGAGAAGCGGTCAGAAGTCATCAGATTGTTTGATCTTCAGGTCTTACCTGCTTACACGCATACGCGATCATCGTATCGCCCTAACGAGACTGCTTACCGCAAGTCATGGACTAGGAGTGGAACGTGGAAGATGGGTGAAGATGCAGAACTCCTCAATACATGTGCCCAGGGCATTTCGGCTGTGTCGATTGTGTCGCGATGATGTAGAGGACGAGATGCATGTCCTTTTTGTATGCACAGACGGCGAGCTAGATCAGTTACGGGTTGCCTTTCTCGCAGAGGTGTGGAATCGTTTCCCCGCCTTGCGCCATGCCAGTTCGACCCCCATGTCTCTTTTCCACACCCTGCTATCCTATCCGGATTTGGTCCCACGTCTGGCCAGGTTTGTGTTTGACGCATGCCAGGTGGTGGAGAAGACACCAATGTACTTGCACCCCGGCACCACCTAAGGTTGCTGTTCTGCTTGTTTTTAATATAGTAATTTTTGGTTAGAATTTTCACATTGTCTATGCTAGGGCTGTGAAGCTGTACCTTGCGGGGGCATGTCCGTATCAGTGAGGCTAGACATACGTTCGGTACCGTAGCATAGTGTAGTTAGTACACATGTAGTACGGACTCTGGTCCGTTTCCTTCTTAGGGACATTGATCAGAATAAAAACCCCTCCCTCCCCGACTGGCAGTGGCATAAGCACTTTGCAGTATTTCCATGAATACTGGGGGGGGAATTGACAGCTCTCTCGCTGAAGATACAGTTATACAACTTCCAGCCTTCTCGCGCCTTCCCAATTCTGCTTTTTTCCGCTCTCGACTCTAAACTTTTGATTTGCATATAGTAACACTTAGAGCTCTTTTCTTAAACCGAGAGGTATTTATTTGACACATTGTTATTGATGGCCATTCTGGAATTGGGAGTTTGTGTTCCTCTTTTATGCCCCCATCTGATGTCTGCAGAAGTCTCGGGATGTCATCGATCATCTTTGACTTTTGCTATGGAACCCTTGTGTTCTCGAAAGACGGCGTAGGAAATCGACCTCGACTTCACGTATGACTCCTTTAGCTCCCCTATATGGTGTCTCATCGATAGTTATGGGAAGGTGAAACCCCATGAGCATCCTAACTCTTCCCCTCATGACTACTCCGGCTAGCATGAGCGCTTTGCAGGATTTCCATGAATACTGGTGGGGAAACGACAGCTCTCTTGCTGAAAACACAGTTATACACCTTCCAGTATTCTCAGACCTCCTTATTTTTGCTTTTACCGACTCTCAGCTTTTAGTCCGCAAGGATTATATCTATATCTTTGATCGGCTGCAGCGCTTTTCTCAGACTGATATGTATTCTACTCGGGGCATCGTCTTGAATGGGCATTCTGGAATTGGGAAGTCTATGTTCCTCTTCTACGCCCTCATCCGATGTCTGCAGGAGTCTCGAGACATTATCTTTTACTTCTTCCGTCGAACCCTTAGATTCTCGAAAGATGGCGTCCAGCGAATCGACCTGAACGACTTCCCGTATGATTCTATTCACTGCCCTATATGGTGTCTCATAGATAGCTTTTGTGGGGAGCGTCCTCCGCTACAGTTTATCAGGCACATATATGTCTTCCCTATACTTGCTTCATCGCGGCCAGACAAGCCGTATTCCAGCTGGGCCAAAAGAAGGATTGCTGCTCAGCTCGTTATGAATCCTTGGAGAGACCAGGAAATTGCCATAGGGTGGGCTTCTCACTCATTGTCTCTGTAATCTATTTATGACATCTTGGACAGGGCAGAGCTTTTCAGTCACGACGAGGCCTCGCTTGTCCTATATCAATCGCTATTGCCCCAAGTTTTGAACTTTTGCGGGCCTATCATACAGGACATTCGTAATTGTCTCTTATCCGAGGGAGCGACTACTATCATTGACCAGATCTATGGTCCTCATCCACGTGTTTATAATTCCACTTCCCTCATTCAAGTACTTACTACCTTTCACTGCTCTACATGGAAAAATATTGATACCCCCTCCTCTACGGCTCTAATGTTTCGTCGACCAGCTGCATATGCCGGAGGGAGTGACGGTGTATATCTCGACTTCCGCTCTCCTCGTCTTGCACAAGAAGTCTGGGAACAGCTCATTCATCTTGGATACGAGGATGCGCTGGCCTGCTTCTCCCGTTTTCGTCTCAACCTCAGTTCTCCAACAGTCGCTGGCCGATGGCTGTTTCAAGTCATTGCTCGCAAACAGATATGCCGACAAACGGTGCCATTCATACCTCTGGCTCCTCTCCAGGAAATGAGTCTGGCGGAAGGGACAAGAACCTTTATCGACACAGAGATCCGTAATCATCTTTGTCCTCCTATCAATAGCGCCGAGAGGACCCCTGGTCTTTTACTCTTCCACGACGGAGATTCTATGCAATACAACATCCTTCTACATTCCCCGCAAGGTCTCTAAAGACTCATTGTTTGATGGATTATTCTTTGGACACGACGCATTGCCCGATTATCCAGGCTCGACCAGAGACCTGACAGTCCTGTATATTTTGCAGACAACGACGGAAGCTAAAAATGGAGCTTCTGAGCTGGGAGTTGACACGATCTGTGAAATCCTCCACCGTTACCCAGGCCTTGTACCTACCTACCTTTTGGTGGTACCACTACCGGACCCAATGACCACTTACAAGTCCCCTTTTCCTGCAGACAACCCGACGAGCACCTGGACAATGCCGCAGAGCTGGTTTGAAAAGTGCCCTGGAAAGGTCTTTCATCAGTCGATTGATATTTGTATGCTATTTATTTCTTTATCTTCGGTTTTCACGCTAACTCGTATTGAATGTAGGGTAGCCACTGGGATCAGCTTCGGACTATTTCATTATACGCCGGCGGAGAAGCCCTTACTTGTGACTCCGCAGGACATTGTGCTTTTATCTTCAAACTATAGCATGTACTTATATATTTTATGTATCTTCTTGTGATTTTTCTCTAGGAACTTGAACTGACGGGCCTTACCAGTTACTCTGTATATGCCTTGTTCCCTGCAACTGGTTCGGTTCTGTGCTACATTGACGCACACCGCTTGACCTCTGCTCACGCACATGGAATTATCACACACATATCGAAAACGAAGATCAAACTTCAAAGAGACCAAGGAAAAAATAACGACCTTGAGAATGACTACCACTGCCCATTTGATAAAAGGAAACGGAACCATCTCGCCTGCTGCAGCAGTCAAATTTGCGATTTCGAGACATGAATTGATACCAGACATGGTGGTAGAGATGGTAACGGTTACCGGTAATAGGTATATACTATACACTATATCACTTAGTACTATTACTACAATTTTTCGACGAGCAAAATTTCGGATACAGGGAATCAAACCCCGAGCTACCGCGCAACTATCATGGTCAACCGTACACATGAGAGGCGGCAATGTTAGCCGTTACACCATATCCGAATGACCGGCGAGCTTCCCCTATCTTCTCAACTGACGCGCAAGTTCATACCAGTACGACTCCTTGACAAGCGCTCGGAAATTTCGGTCCGAGTCCGTGAGACTCACGTTCACGTTGTCATCGCTACACTGGCAAGGGCACACGACGGTATTGTAGCCTATAGGCACCGTATCTCCTTGTCTGAAGACTTGTTCGAGTCAGCGTGAGTCAAGCCTATTGATACATTCTCAGAATATTTACCAAGCCGTTACTCAAACCTGTAGCAAATGCTCCGTCAACAATGCAAAAGCTTCTGACTCTCAGTGTCCCGAACCCTGAGCAAGGATCATATAACTTACTTCACAGCATCCGAGCATTTCTCCCTATGAAATCTCCGCAGTGATGCAGAGTTAACCGCGCGCACAATAGAAGACGTAAACTGCGTACGCCACAATCCAGTCTCCCGACCCGTAGCAATTACCAAAAGTTTTGTCATCGAGGTTCATAAATGGGGTTTGTCGTCTGTCCAACATGTGGCCTTCCTTTTTTCCTTCGGTTAGTTAACTGCTACGTGTGAGGAGCTCACCTACGGGCCCCGGACGTCGTTGTCCAAGATGGACGCCCAGGAATACACCACCGTTGCGTTCAATGTATATGCGTCGAGATATGCAAGCAGTAAGTCGTTGTTTCGAAGTGTGTTTTCTATTTCCGTTTTGATGTTCGTATTTCAACAGTTGCCGGCTACGTGGTAAGCTGGACTTTACCATTTTCGCGGCGAATGGGATGCTCATTGGGTCAGCTCATGCTCTACGACCACATATTAACGTTCGACGAGGAGGTTAGGTTCATATGGGCGGCTCCATGGACGTTACCGAAGGCACTCTTTCTTATCATCCGTTATTTCGTTCCTGCCTTCGTCCTTATCCACCTCTGCCGTAAGTTGCTCCAGGATCAGTCTACGGACATTCAACGATTTGACGTGTGAATGAATTTTGCAGAGCTGACAGGACTGAGCACTCTCTCCGATATGGTGGGTACTTCCTTCGGTTTAGTATATGTATATTGCTAGTATACTGATGACTCCTTAGTTGTAAGTCTTATCGGGTTTCATGATCTCCGAACCTGACACCAGTAATGGACCAGCTGTAAAGTCTGGTTTAATGTATCCGTAAGTTTCGTCTCCATTGTTGAACAGGGTTATCTCTGATGTACGTCTGTAGGCCTCCATGGGTATCATCACCATCGCCATAGGAAATTGTAAACCGAACTTGTCACTTATTGTTGATTCCGTTCTCATCCGTCGTACGCAGTCTTGGCCCTTATGCATATATGGAATCTCTGGGAGAGAGATGGACGGCTAATGATTTTAACATCATGTTTATTCGTGGCGACCCAGATAGCCAACATCATCTGCCTGACATTCTCCCTTGTACATATCACCGGTGCGTCCTGTATGGTAGGCTCTCAGACTCAAGCTTATCTCCGTTCCCATTATCAGAATCCGTCTACTTCAATTCGACTTTCTCAACGTGCATGCTAACAGACCGCCACTCGGCCGGAATCATTTGGGCACCAGGGGTAAGTATGCCATATTCTTGCTCTCCTGGAATTTCGGTCTGACGCCTTTTTGGGTACTACTAGGTGGCGTTCGAAGCTGTCATATTTTCCGCTCTATTCTGGAACGCGCTCTCCCGACCTCGATATCTAGAGGATGATTTCACCAAAATCCTTTACAGAGATGGATTCGCGTATATTTTGGTCAGCTCACATCTCTATTCGCATGGAATGCCATGTCTTAATCACCTTGCTATTTCACCTAGGTTGTCTTTGGTTAGTCCTTTGAGCCACGTCTCTGGGTCTTTTCGTTGTCATGCTAAGCGCCGCCTCAGTTCTTCGATTAATGAATCTCATTCTATCTTTTGTCGCACCGGTAAGACATCGTCCATCGGGTCCGCTCTATGTGCTCACGGCCCTGTTCAGCTCTCTCTTATTTTTCTGGGAATATTGTGCGTTCATCCACTCCTCGCGTAACGGGGCGAACTAACTTTGATCACAAACAGTTTTATCTGGTGTTCGACCACCATGACAGTGACACGGCTGGTTCTCAACGTCGCTGGGATGGCTGAGAAAAGGGCTTTGCATATGTTCCAGATCGAACTAACACGGTTTGAGTACAATGATGAGGATAGTGAACCGTGAAGTTGAAAACAGTCAATAATGAGGTACCAAGCGGGCCAGGATACCACGTATTTAGTTGCGGGCTAGCATAAAATAATACCCCGTGTTGTTCGGTATATATTGATAAAAATGTATTTTAGAGGTCCTGGCCTGACGATTATGTGTGGATGAGGATAATAAGCAAAGGCTTGCTGGTGGAACAATAATACTATTACAAACTGATGTACGTGGGTGGATGGCAAGCAACAGTTGGCATAAGTTTGATGAATGAATGCAAATGCGATGCGATGAGAAAGAAACAGAAACTCCGGAAAAGGAGGAAGTCACATATGTTGAACCGACGAATGCGAATGAAGAAACAGTGGGACAAGGCGCACGGGACGAGATGGCTGCATCAGGCATCTGGGTTGTAGCCAGCGAAGTAAGGATGTTGCAAGACACGTTTGGCTGGGCGGAGATGTCAGACAGATTAGCAGATGGGAACTGCAATTAATGCACACCTGAGATACGCCTCGCAGAATCGTAAGCGAGAAGACGCTGATCGTTTCAGAATTTATCAAAAGATAAGCTTGATGAGATAGGGAGGAATCAACGAACTCTAAGAACATCAATCCCGGCGGGGTCCAGATCGGGGACGAGCCTAGAGATATCTTGGACGCCCCAACGGGGGAAAGTGGCCTTGTAATCAGGCAGATTGGAAACGCCAGGCCACATGTCTTCGTTCGGAGTGCCCAAAATTCTAAGGCGATGTGCCTGTTAGACTCGCAAGTAGCAAATTTCCGAGGAGGGGTACCTGAAAATCTTGAATATTTGATCGATTTCAGAGTCCCCCGGAAAGAGTGGCTGTCCTTGACAAGCCATCTCGGCAAAGATGGCTCCAACAGACCACATATCGATAGCAGTTGAGTAATGACGGGAGCCTAGGAGAACTTCAGGGGCCCGATACCAAAGGGTAACAACCTGGCGAGTAGCATGGTTAGAAACACTTGATGAATAAAAATAGCGCTCGTCTTACCTCATGGGTATATGTTCGCATGGGTATCCCAAAGGCGCGAGCAAGCCCAAAGTCTGCCAACTTGAGATTATTGTGCTTGTCAATGAGGAGATTCTGGGGCTTCAGATCTCGATGGAGGATCCGATGAGAATGGCAGTAGAGCAAACCGGAATTCAGCTGGTGAAAAAATTTCTACGACCAGAATGTATAGATTAGAACGCGTGATAGGAGACAGATTGGAAGAAAAAAGGAACGCGTCCTGGTCACGTGATACAGTTCCGCAGACAAGGGAAACTACCCGTGGAAGTAGGGAAACTCCAAGGGGTAGCGCGATAGCCCCAGATATAGGTAGGACAAGACGCCTAGGAGTCGTACCGGAATTAAAAGCATAGATATATGGGCGGGCAAGGACAGCGCCCATGACCCCTGGGCAGTCATTCCGGCCGAAATCTCGCGTCAGACGCGTCGAAAATTTCGCATCGGGCGTGTCGGATGGATAGGGCGCTCACACAGTCATGAAGGATGGTGGAAACTGTACCTTGGACATTTCCAGCGTAATAGGAGTATGGTTTTTGTTGGCAAGGTCCATATATCGCTTCAGATCGACGTCGAGGAATTCGAATACCAGATAGAGCTTTTGGTCAGCGTGAACGATGTCAAGAAGGCTGGATAAGAGACTGAGAACCGATAACAATGAGTTAGGCCTCGAAACGTACCGAACGACATGGTCGTCCTTGAGCTCCTTGAGGAGACTAATCTCCCGGATAGCGGTGCTGGGTACGCCCTCGTCCTCGGCTTCGAGCCTGATTTTCTTAAGGGCGACTATCTGGTTGGTGCTGGTATCCCGGGCCTTGTATACGACGCCGTACGTGCCTGCCGGTCAGAGGTCGTCAGCGGAGCCGTCATCGATTAAACAGTGTGCCGTACCTTCGCCTGCAGTAACGCCCAGTCCGGAATCATCAGCACCTTCGGAAACGAGCACAACGGTCGCAACGCACCGACTTTCTCTACCTTGGAGTATCTGGCAGTGCTCTAATCAATTCCAGTCCGGTCTCGATACTGCATGGCTGCTCACCGTTCCATTTATTGGTATCGAGTACAGGTCTGGTATCGAGCTCAACGTCGAGCTTGGCGGCGAGAGATGGAGCGAGCTGAGCACTACAGCGGACGATGAGGAAGGAAAGCAGCGGAAAGATACAGAGAGTGCATGGAGGAGTGGTGTACCGCTTTTATGCGTCAAATTATTGGATCTTGATCGATGACGTAATTTATGGGTATTGAATTCGTTGTACCCTTAACTTTTCTGCCGTCTGTGTACGATATGATTACATCTCTTAAGCGGTGTAATGTGCCACACAAATCGTACCAAGATAGCGACGTCGATTTGTGGCAAAAAAACGTACAATACTGTGCGACAAAGTGCACCTCATGCCAGGCTCGTGGTTAATATCACCACACGATGGATCATCAGCTCCCTTCAAGGACCGTTGGCATGCCGTCGTCCATACAATATCCGTCCACTACGTTCGTCTCCCTGCACCGTGCGCGGATTCCGGATCCTCTGCGCTCAGCGCTCATCACTGACATTTTACAAATAGATGTGATCAGAATTGTGGCACTCATTTATCCGTGGATCTTACTCACTAGAATGTACAACTTGTAGGTCTTGTCGTACTCATCGGAAGAGCAGTGAACATAGTAATATAACGATGCATCCTCTAGCGCCTAATCGCGCCTGCTCCTGCATGTTTCTGAACTTTAATTCAGCTGCTGACTGAGAATTTCAAAGCGACGGCGACGACGAATGACATATCTTCATAGCCTTTCCTCCGCATTGACCCACCGGCTAAG